GTGAGATAGATATGGATGGTGGAAAAGTCGGAGCCTGTACTTGTATAGCTGCCGTTCTAGTCTTCCAACCACTCAAAGTTGCTTTTCACTAGCGTGCGCATCATTGGCACCCTTTCACACAGCATGGTCATCAGTGGATGGCAAGAGGCTCCATCAAACGCAAAACTAACTCATTCGATTCACCACGGATTCACACACGCGAGTGCACGACATCAGAGATCAATTTGCGGGTTCGAGTATCTTGGCTCCAATGATACCTCGAGCACTTGGTGGCGGAAGGTAGCCGGTGGGGATCAAACCAACAACTTCCGACGTTAGTGGACGACGCCGGCTCTGCTCTGAGCCAGTAGGCGCCAAACTAACATCAGTATAAGGGCTATGATACCAATGGTAATGCCATGCCTCTGACCATCTTCACAATGAGCAGTGTGACAGACAGCGAGCGTCAGTCAAGTGGGGGTACAGTGTTGGTGTCTGCAAGACTTGGAGATAAGGAATGAGCATAGCAGCTGACAGAAGCAGTAAGCTGTAGGCTACCTTACCTGGTTGCGATCCCAAATGTATACATTGAAATTTCAGCATCGGTTTACCAAGAGAAAGTTAGCAGCAAGCAGTTGGTAATTTGTCATATTGGACTGGAAGCGCAATGCTCTCTATAATAATAATAATAAAAGTAAATGAAGTGTGATTCTAAGGAAAAAGATAAGATACCTACCTTGGCTATAAAGCCGTAGTTGTCTGATAACTGACACTGATGATAGACATCCATAGCTATCCGTGTGCACTTGCAGAGCTCCAGACAGTCCAGGAGCAGATCTGTAACAGTTATTTTAATATCACTTTGGGGAATTTGCAACTTAGAAATTATTTGAAGCAATAGAACAACTAGGCTAGCTCAGAGCTCAGACTGTCCTGAAGGTAGTCAGCATCTTCAACAAAACGAGATAAACTATTGCAAATATATTGAAAAGAGCATTATTAGCTTGTTCTAGAGCTGTGCGGGGCACATAATATCTGTGTGATTTGTAACCAACCTATTTTTTTACCAGGTTTAAGATGAAATAGAAAAAAAAATGTCCTATCAAGTTTTCATAACAAAAGTGTATTCATGTTTTACTGCAAGATCACAGAGATTAACTGTCTAGTCTAAAAGTTGAGAAACATATTTAGCTATTTTCACCAACATAACATGTTGTTTAACAACACTGATGTTTACAAATGTTCTTCACCTGAGTGGCACACAGTGATTGCCTGGCGGGCCAAATCGTGGATGACTGCTGGCAAATCCATGTCATCAGGAAGCACCATGGGCACATCTGCCTCCAGCATCTGGCACAATGTCTTGGCTGCAGTGAACAAAACCTTCCCTGTGCTGGTGTTATAGTGGTGTTCATACAGCTCACTGAGGACATAAAGAAAAGAGAACAAAGAAAACATGAGGTTTTCCGTACGCAAGCAATACAATCAAACCAAAAAGAACTAATGGGTGGGAAAACAACAATACGCCCCATCAGTTTCCCATCCCTGGATTCATACACACGGCACAACATCCACACATGCAAACCTGAGGATCTTGAGGGCCTTGTCCACCTTGCCCACTCCCAAAGCTCGCAGGGCCAGGTCAGACCAGAGCTCCTGTTCGGTGCGCTGCAGCTGTCTCCCTAGACGACGTAAGCCAGCTTCTGTGGATATAGTTTTGGTCTTGCCATCGGGATCATTAGCCACTACTGGAGTTGTCGTAGCCTTCCCCTTAGACGAACGGCGGCCATGTGTGTTTTCATAGGCTGTGATGTGATGCTCCTGGATCTGTTTTCTGATGTTTGGATCCTCATAGTTGGAGGGGGTGAAGAAAACATCAAAGTCCTCCTGAAGAAAAGAAAATAGGCTGCAGGTTAAAAAAAATCAATTAAAGAACAGCTGGAATTGAAAAACATCCCTTCAATGAAAACTCACCTGTAGATGAGCAATCGCCTTGAACATGATGAGGTTGTTTTCACACGCCATGCTTTTAAAAGCATCATCTGCAGAAGACATAAAACCTGGCATCACTCTTGGATATTCAGGTGCATATTTATGACATTTATTCCCCTAGTCTTTGTCTGTAAGCTAAGTTTAGACAATAAATGTTGGGTGTTTCTAATGTATCTATTCATGTTTTACTACTCGATGTAGCAAATAACGCTTTCCAGAAGAAGATAAAGAGAAAAGTTGGAACTGAGAGGAATACGTGGACTTGCCACCCTCTGTTCAGGTTTTATAATTAGTAACTTGAAAGTAAGTACTTACGCTTTTGAATTATATGCAGGTATTTCAGAGCCTCCACAATCACCTGAGCGATGACCATCTGGTGTTTCTTGTGCTATTCAAGACATGCCAAGAGAAAGTTGTCATAATGCTGTTCTACTTTTTATGTTCAGATCTTGAGATGATTATCGAGTTCTTTATTGAGATATTATTAAGTTTCATGTACGGTCTATTTTGAGTCTTGTTTGGGATGTTTTCAGCTGTTAAGGCATCATAAATGTAGGGATCTAAATATGCAATGACAGGAGACCAGGGAGTGGCACCCAGGCAGCAGAGCATGTTAAAATGACATTTAGTGCTTAGCAATCACAAACTCTAATACTTAAAACTTTCTTAAAATGCAAGAATGTACAGCGTGACTTCAGTGGTCTTGAAATTGCATCTGGAAACTTGAGCCTTGATTACCAAATTACCTTTTATTTCAGACAAACCTTCCCTCTTCTCACCTCATCAGATATGTGGTCTTTGTCCTGCAGCTGCAGCCTAGCCCAGGACGTGAGACGCTCAATGACACACTCTGCTTCTGCAGAGGACAGATTCTTCAGGACGGTCATGCATTCCTCGCTCTGAAAGCAGCATAAAATAAATATAATCATGGATACATAAAAAGAAAGAAAATTTAAATGTATTATGATAGATTTAATATTTCCACCGAGATGAGCATACCTTTCCTTGGCCAATCAGCTGGATGAGATACAAGTAATTTATCTGTGAGGTTGGAAGTTTGTATGCTTCAGCTAATGTCAGGGAGTCTTCTAAAGACATTGGCAAGTCTTGCTTCAGGATGTATCTAATCAGTGTCTGGGGAAGATGGACAGCATACAACACCAAAGTTTATAGTCAGGCACAGCAAAGGTCATATGTCACATAATTAACCAAATAAAACTTACCATTATTTGAGTGCTGTTGGAGAGGTTGAAGTTGCGGATCCCATAGCCCCTCAGAAGTTTTCTGATCTCCATCAGACGGTAGCTTTCCTTTAAAAGCTCTTGTCTGGGGAATATATCAATTAGAAAAAACATTTAGAAACTGCTAATATTACCACATTTTATACAGTATCAAAAAAAGGATCAGGGTGATGACAATGTAAACGTACTTTGGTCCATCCATCTCTAGGTACTGCTGAACCAGTTTTTCTACCACATTACTCCAGGGCACTACAGCTTTCTGCATGATCTCCAGCACAGCATCCACCATCAGCTGCCAAGAAATACAATAATGTGAGATTTCACATATCCTAGTTTACTGTTGTGGCTGATTTCCACTCAAATATGTGTGCTTATTAACCATAAACCATTGTTGTGTAAGAGTAATGATGTTACAGGGACTTACATCAGTATCAGTCATGCAATCTAGCACAGCCACTGCTTTGGCTTCCCATTCTGTGAAAAGGGTTGTGGTCTGAGAACTGCAGCGCTCTAGCAGATCCTAGGGGAGATCAGATTGAGAGGGGACACATTAATCATTAGAAATTTGGAAAATGAAATGTTTGCCGCCAGTGGGCTTTAGCAGTGGTGGAGTTTTACCTTGATATACTGTAAAAGCAGCTCATCAAAAGGAATCTCGTGCTCTTCAGCATAAGGCAGAATACTGCTCTCCACTGTGGCTGCGATGAGCTCTGGAGCCGGCACTTTGTCCAGCATGAAGAACGCGACACTTCGTACACTTCCCTTTTTAAATTCACAAAGAAGATAAATTAGTAAGATTGGAACAACAGCGCAAAACCCACTCAAAATGTACCAGGAATAACACCACTTCTAAACAGGATGTCCCCATATACATATATGGTGGAAAAAAACAGCATGAATATATTACAATTTAATGTAATTTAAAGCAACAGCACCACAATGTACTGTATGTTTGTTTCTATAATGAAATAACATGTAAACCATAATATCTTTGAAACAGTGTGATCATATCAGTTCTCTGCTGACATCTACATGCATGAATAAGTATAACCTGATTCCCTTCACAACTCCAAACAATTTTTCAGAAATTCTTTCATGTACTTAAATAAAATATTTGTTTAAAGCTCAAATGTCATCAGAAAATGCCACGAATAATAGACAAACCTTCTCAAAGACTGAAAGTGAAAGTCTGCAGTTGTATTTCCGGTGGAGGTCCAGGAGCTGACGGAGGTTGGACACCAGGGACTTGAGGTTCTCCACCTCTTCTGCACCATAATTATCATCCTTAAAAAAAAGAGACACAAATAAATCTTGGATCACATAATTAAAGTTACAATTTACGTTATCAGGTAGGTTATGATTGTGAAGGCACAAATGTGGCTAACTCACAGATTTCATCCATGTCCATAAAGAGGGCAGTCCAAGCACTGCCAAGTCCAACCCGTTCTGGGGCCAAGCAGCCTAGAACAACATATTACATTTATAATCACTGGTTCAACTATTGTGGCTGATATGTTTACTGTTTAATACAACTATTTGAAAAAATTATTTAAAAGTCTGATTCATATCGTGTTCCATATTTATGAGCAAATGATGACCAGTGCTTTTCCCCATTTTCTATTATTGTGATTTAAGGTTGCAAAGTCATCAAAATCCATTAGAACTAATTATTTTAACGTATGCTCATACCTCATGGTTAATAACAAAGCCTCGTTTTACTAGACTTAAACATTTTTTTGTCAAGATGAGATTTTTTCTTTACCTTCTCTGTTAACTCCAGATTCCTCGCCCTCTGCTCCAGCCATCTTGCCAGGATTTTCTACGGGTACATAAAAACAGACCTTTAACAACTCAAAACATTGCACTGTATATTGAAGATAACTGTATTTTAGATTTGAGAGAACAGATCCTACTTGTCCTGTTGGAAGCACTCTCCTCAGAAAGGGAACAAAAACTGTCCTAAACCAAGGACAGAGGTCTTGGGATGGCAGGTCCTCTGGGATGGCGCTGAGCACGGCTTCAAGCTTGCTCTCATCCAAATCTGCTGCAATCTGTCCCTGTTACAAAACACAACAGTAAACAACATCACACAACTGATCCTGAGACATATTTCTTACAGAAATGTTTTGTTTCATCATTGGTATTTATCAGTGTTAAATGTATGTGTAAGTACATTCCTGCATTAGAACACAAGGTATTGATATATGACAAATGTCTGTGCACTTATGAGGGCATTAAGCTGTTCTTTACCTCATATCTCAGCCAAAGCAGCTGTGCACCCTTCATGTCTCCTTCTCTCAGGTGGGTCAGAATGTCTCCTAAATTGTCACTACTGTTCAGAAACTCAATCCAGGCAATGCCACTATGGATGACAGAATAACATAGTAAAATCCCACATTAGTGTACGTAGGAAGAAACCACCATGTGTAAAAATGTACTCTACAAAAACAAAGACATAACTAAGACATAAGAATTTACTTGAAATTTTCGGGGCCGTGCAGGCTGCAAAATGTTGCCAGCCTCGCCAAGGCCTCTTGGATCTGTAAGGAGGAGTATTGTGTGGCAGCATGGTTCAGCATCTTCTCTGCTGTCTCAAAGGTCGGCCATGGAGCCTTGAGGCAATACTCCACCACATACTGCTCATCCTAGGCAACACAAAAAATGTACTTCGATCAGTAAGTGATTAATACTTAAATAACAATTCATTTTAAATTGCTGTGACTAACTCAAGAAGTTTTATCAACATCTTGGAACTATAGATTGAGATTAGACTAAAAACAACATTGGACACTGACTGTGATCTTCATCAGGTTGGTCTTTGCTTCCTCCACAAGTTCAGACCACACATCCTGTCCATACCCGCCCACAGATGCAGAGGCCAGCTGCTCCAGCACAAAGTCAAGCTTCACCTTGTAAACAAGCTGAAGAAAAATATGATTGTTATTTGTGTATAGCACCATCTACACTGCTACTAAAGTAACAATACTAACAATACAGACAGACCTCTAAATCCAGCTCAAATGTGATGGCGAACTTTTCAGCCTCTTCAAACATGTGTTTGTGAAGAAGTCTGCTCAGTCTGGGAATAGAGAAAAATCAAGCAAGTGAAATTATACAGACTGTGGTTATACAGCTGCAATTAATGTAGAAATGTAGCCAATTAAAATGAGGTACCTGTTCTCAGGCAAAGCCTCTGTGAAGCATCTGACAACAACAGAAGATATAGGCTCTCCTCGACTACTTGATGAAGAACAAGGAAAAAAAAAGACCACTTTTTAAAACCATATCTCTCAAGACACAGACGAAAATCCCAGTAATCATACAAAACCATATCCTACCTTTCTGGATTCTCACAAATCCCCTCAACTAAATAAATAGTATCCTGAAATCAGAAGACAAAACAACTGACTTAGATGAGCAGAAATATTAGCAACTAGAAACAGCACATGCAAAATCCATAAAACAATTTGATATGTGTTGATTGTTTACCATGTTTATTTTTGTCTGGACAAGGCAGGAGACTGAGGAAACATCCAGAGAGTAGCAAACAGTCATGGACGGCAGAAATCGTATTTGCAGTGAGTTGATCTGAAAGAATTTAAAAACCAGCATATCGGGTAAAAAATAAGACTTGAGACAATCATTGATTATAAGTTCTTCAAAAGGAGTTGTATTGCTACCTGACTGTTGTCTTGTTTTGTCAGTGTGATCATCTTCATGCTGCCCTTGTCCTGGCTGTGGTACACACAGGTTACATATTGTTAACAAAGATTGTTTAATTGAAGCATATATCTCTGTAAACTACAGTATGTTATAAAACAGTGTTACATACGCCACCAAGGAGGCAGAGCCGCATTCTGTGGTGAGTTCAAAGTCATGAATGGCAAGATCTGGCCAACAGTGAATCATGACAAGAAAATGTAGGTCCCAAAGACTCAGGGCATCCTGGGACCGAAGAAAAACACAAAGCAATCCCCATGTAAACCCTAAATACTTTTGATTGAACCTCATGCAATGGTATATCAAACAGCTACAGGCGACACGACTAAACTCACCTCAGTGTCAAGAACATACAAGAGATTTTCCACCACCACCATCTTCCTCACACCTTTGAAGTAAACAGAAGGAGAATATATGTTACAACCATCCCACAATCTACTCTAAGAGGCATTTTAATCTAGGATTGTTTTACAACTACACACTATATTTATTCCTATCCATGTCCAAAAACCTGAGCCCATACATTTGTCCCTTGTTGATGAAAAAAGTTATTTAGATGTCAAATATCTAGATGTAAATAAATATTCAGCATCTTCCGAAAGACGCATTAACAATGTAAAGTTATATACTGTACATGAAGCAAGAGCTTACCTGGAATTAAGCTATTGTTGACAGAGTGAGCAAGGCACATCTTGGCCTGATGAGGGTCCATCATCCAGTGAGTCAAAACATTTTCTTTATCCCCCTGTGAAGATACACAATGTTGTGACAAAGTACATCAAGAAATACATGCTGTTTTACTGCTTTATATAAGGAGTAACTACCATCCCTATAAAAATGTGTTATTCACACAAATACATTTAAAAGCTTAATTTAAAGTTTTTGTTTTGAGGAACAATAACACTACTGAGTTTTAAAAAGAATTCCATCAGAAAATATTAAATTGCAAGAATCTACATTCAAGTACAGTACATGAATTTAAATTAAATATTGTACATTTGTGCATTGTCATTTCTTAGAAAGCTAAATAGATTCAGAAAAACAGGGACTGAAATAAAATAAGCAATAAATATTAGAAGTACAATGGTCCATAAATAGAGAGTTAATTTTATTTAGTTTTTTAAATATGCTTGCATTCATGTATCATAACTGAAAGTGGTTAGTAAATTAATAAAACCTCTCTCAAAGACACTGACCCCAATCATTAAGTGGATTTCATGGCCCAGATTGAACATCACTGCTGTACTGCAGCCCTCGTCATGGTAATCTCTGGTGGAGCAGAAGTCTATCTTGATGAGTGTCTGGAGCTGAGTTGAAGAAAAGTCTGATTATATTTCTGCTCTTCAAAAAAAATTATTTAGCTACAGCATGAAAAGAAGATTAACTTAACTTACCTCTTTCAATGCTCCCACATCCATTTTTTCAATGGCTGTGATGACAAAATAATTATTATTTAATTTGGTCAACAAAATGACCCCAACAAAACTAAGTCTACTGCGCATCATAGTTTTTTTTAGATATATATTGATAGGACAGGTGAAGATAGACTTGAAAGGAGGAAAGGGGGGGATCGAACCCTGGCCACTGCAATAAGAATTTAACCTACATGAGCCGTGTGCTCCACAAAGTGAGCTACAGTGTGCTCCTCCACATCATGTTTTAATACCTGTCTCGATCTTTGCCAGTGCAAGGTTTGTAATGTGGAAGAAACCATCCTTTATGAGAAGAAACACATGGTACATCCCTGTCAACAACAACAACAAAAAATCTAATTAACAACTGACCATTCAGAAATCAAATTCACACACATAGAGAATAAATCCTTCTTCTCATATTCATATAGAGAGTTTACCTAAGGATGCCTTGTCCTCTTCTATGATGAGATAGCGGTATGTTTTCATATCTCCACTGGATGGTTTCTCTACCAAAGGCTACAAACCCAGAAAAAAGACACAAGATGTTAATGCACGTAAGTGAAACCCACCATGATATTAAACTGAAACTCATTTGAAAACAAGACACAAAGTTATTAAGATTGTCGTGGCTGGTGCCACTATCTGTCATCTCAAGTGTTGCAGGTAAAATCAGACAGGTAACAATATAACCATTCAATGCCAGGCACAGAGTAATATTAATAATAATAATAATAATAATAATAATAATAATACATTTTATTTATAGAGCGCTTTTCCAGGAACTCAAAGACACTTCACATAAGTTAAAAAGGAAAATAAAAAGGTAATAAAAACAACACAATAAGAAATTATAGCTATATCTAATTATGATTGTTTTCTACTGTAAATTTTTATTTTATGTGACCTTTTTCTTCTTCTTTTACCTGTAACTCAACAAATGACTGGTTATAGGTGGCTGATTGTAAATATGTTAAGTATTGTTGTTATTACTCCACTAAATTTCAGAGGGAAATATTTTCATATTTATAAATATATTTACTCCACTACATTTATCTGACAGCTGTAATAAGATAATAAAATGTTTCTTTATTGAATCCTCTTGTAGGGGAAATTCAAAGAGTCTAGTACAAAGAATAAAGAAAGCTGAATAAAATACAACAAAATATAAACACTATACACCATAAATAGAATATAATAAGACTGTTATTATGTACATGTGCAAAATCAGTGATTATCCCTCGGGATAAATAAAGTATCTTTCTGAGTGTTGTGTGGTTTAAAGTCTCAATCAGCGGAGATAGAAGGTACTGTGGCGTTGAGGAGC